TAAGCGCGGACCTGTGTCCGCAACCTGCGCCCGCAGGGTTAAACCTAAGCACGGACCTGTGTCCGCAACCTGCGCCCGATACCTGCGATATAATGTTTTTTTTTTGTTTTTGTTTTTTTTGCAATAATGCATGACATATATTTATAAATGTCTCTGGTATCGATAAAAGACCAATACGTTGGAACTTAACGGCGCGTAAAACACACGTGATGACGTCACCAATGAATCGACGACTGAATGAGTTGGTAACTAATTTGGTAATCGATTAAGTCGATTAGTTGTTGCACCCCTACTGCCGAGGAGATGTGTTTGTCGCAAATCCAGCCGTTGGTGCAACGGGAAACGGAATATTCTTAGTGGAGAAGAAAGAGAGAAAAATACGATCATTCAGTCAATAATCATTCAATTAATATTGGGAGTGAATCCTAATTTATTTAGTATCTGGTCGTGTCATAAACAGGATAATGTGCAGCGACTTGGTCATTGAGGAAAAGAAGCCCTACGAAACGCCATTTATTTCAGGTAACACTGTGTTGGAGCTTGAAACTGCGTTAGTTACTGAGCATTGTAATGGTAGTAATTACCCGAACTGCATTAGTAATGCAAGTAATACGTTACTGAACTCCATACTGTAACACGTTACACCTAACACTGCCTGATGGGACTTACCTAACCCTGAACTAAAGGTAGCAATGCATAGTGTTGAACTTCCTGTCGGCTCCCAGACCGTAGTTGAGGAAACGGGGGGGGATGACTATCTGTCGTCTCCCAGGGCAGAAGCAACACGCTTCGGGTTCAATAACCCATTTATCGGAGATACTGGAGAAGGCGAGCTCTTCTTGGGAGGTCGTTGCATTTATTAAGCTCTTCTGTTTCGCAAGATCACAGACCTTCCTTTTTCTGCTGCCTCGTTATTTCTAGAAAACATGTATCTCGCTCGCTCTACCATACCATGCCCACGCACACGGGCACGCGCCACACCCCTCTCTTAAAGGGGTAGCGATCTCACTCTGGATGACCCAAATGTCATAACGATATACGAAACATCTCGTGAATTTGTTGCAACTGCCTCTTGCCAGCGCTACCCTGACGCCTGTTTTAGAGGTGAGGCACAGGAGGAAGTAGCTTCAATGGGATGTAGCTTACGCCCTGCCTGCCTGCAGGATGGGTTGTGGTTGAAGCCAATGGGTAAAGCTTCGCATGCGATGGGGACCCGTTCCGCGTGAAGCCGGAAGCGCCGCATTTGAGCGGCCCTGATGCCGGTGATGCCCTCTTGAGAGACTGAAGGCGTGCGTCAATTGTTTGCGTGAAGTAGCCCATTTCCATTAGCCGGAGGAACTTCCGTGGAGCCCGATTTCCTTGTCTTTTCCTCCCGCGTCCGGGTTTGCGGGGCAGCCGGCTGAAACCGCTAGCCGACTGGGGGACGCCGCTTGTAGCTTAATCCGCAAGACTGCGGAGCTGATGAATAATGCCTGGAGCTGGGACGAAGCCCTGCTGCTGCTTGTGCGTTGACACCTGAAATGACAACTGACAGGAAGGGGAGAGCAGATTTAAAGAGGTTAGCAGGTGCAATGATTGGCTAGCCGGGGCGTAATGCCCCTGATCACTTATTGAAATAACGTGTGACACCCGATGATGTTGTCTTCCTGATTGAACTTACGCTGAGCTACATATCCCACGGTGACAACATCATGGGAACGTGTTGCAATTTAGAACTCACTAAACCAGAAATGTTGAATACACCTTGCTGTAACGGATATTCAACTGCCTGATTCACCTTAGAAAAAAAAAGGAAAGGATAGAAGGTTTTTGTTAAGCCCCTTGATGCTAATTTGTGGTATTGAGCTATATAAATAAGCCTTGACTTGATTTAATTAGCTTTTAAATGGTGTAGATGAGAGTTAAAACCTCAACCAGGCTCATAAGGTGTGTGAAGTAAAGAGAAAGTGGACTAAACACAACTAAGTAAATAGATGTCTTGTAAAAACTTGACTTGATCATGACTTATCTAAATAATTGCCGTTAAACAACTTTTCTTTAGTGCAGCGGTTCTCACTCCCTCTGGCCCGGTGCCTAAGATAACTGATCTGTTTCTGCTCCAAAGCGACGGCAGTCCTGTGATTAGTGGCGGCGCCAGAGTATTTTTGTTGGGTAATCCATGGTAGCGCTAACCCATGCAGTGGTGGGGCTCAAGTCAGTATTTGCAATGTAATTACATACACACTATATCGCCCCCCGTGACAGTGAAACGCCACGCGTGAGGTTTAGATTATTTCCCTGTCTCAATCTAAATTGAACTGTATGAAATAAAACGGCACATTTGTCTTGTAGTAAATAAAAAGGGCGACCTGGAGCCAATCCTGCTATTTTCCCACAGGTGAAAGAGTTGACATGCTGAAAACCCAACCCCTGCAGGGGGGTCTGGGGAGATTCTCCTCCAGGAGATTTTTTGAAATATTAACTAAAATACACATTCTCTCTTGAGAAGAAAAATAAATAAATCTATTACTTCACGACATATTTAAAAAATGAATGGTATTTTAGTTTTTTGTTGATTTCTATCAACACGTAATGTTGTATCGATGTATATAGAGATGTACTACCGCAAAAGTATTCTCCGTCGGGACTTCCTGCAACAACACCACGCCGATATCTTGATTCTGATTGGCCAGAAGACATTATCAAAGATGTTCTATTGAGAAGACGATCACTACGTGACAAAAGTTTTCAAACCCGTTTCTGGTCTTCAGTATTTCCAGACAAGTGGCTGAAATCAATCTTACTAACTGCTGTCTGTGCAATTTACTCCGCGCGAGTTGGTGGACTTTATTTTGCTTACTTTAACATCATTTGTCATGGTTTTTATTTATTTATTTATTATTTATTTATTTATAGAAGGACCATGCATACAAAAACATTAATCTCAGCAAAGAGAAGAGATGCCAGATTATGGCTAATAGCTCATTTCCATCTGTGGTCCTCAGACAGGTTCATAACAATCAATAAACAAATAATAGCATTGCATGATCTCTATCAGTCAAACAATTTAAAAACCTGATTTAAGTACAGCTCAATAAATTAATACATAGTACATTTGAAATACACTTACATGATCTCGGTCACTCAAATAATTACAAAGCCTGATTTAAATTCAGGTTACGAACATAACACTTAGTACACTTCAAATACACTTAAATAAAATATCTACGATATAGTACGACAATACAGTTCAAATTAAAGAAAAACTCAGATTACAGTGTAATTATTGTTGGCATGACTGGTTGCTTAATATCATTTTGTTTTGCACCATAGGAAAACGAGTTAAAATCAGTACAGGTTTTAAGTTCAACTGGAAGAGAATTCCAGTGCTTGATGGCCGTAAACGAAAATGCTGATGGTCCAAAGGCAGTGCGCCTCAGAGGGATGGTTAGATCTGCATTTGATGCAGATCTGGAGTTTCTGCAACTCTGCTCACGGCGAAACTGGGGCTAAGGTGGGGCTAAGCCATTTCTTGGTATGGCTATAAAAATACTAAATCTCTGGCAGCTTAAATTGAAGAGAGAAGACAAACGAGGAAGCGCTGATGACAATGAGAACAGATGTGTTTTTAATGGTTTAGGGAGAATAGTTGACGTTGAAAGACAAATTGTGCTTAATAACTGTGTCGGTTTAAGTGATTAGGGGGGAAAAGGACTATATAGATGAAAACAAAGCAGCTGTTCATACTGATCCGTTGTGTGGATAATTTTAAGTAAGATTACACTTTTTTTTCTAAATTCAAAACAGTAAAACTTTCCTCAAATTTGAAATTAGAGGATATTTGAGTAGGACAAATCCAGCAGATCTCTATAGATAGTCTAGTCAGAATATCTGTATAGGAGTGAAACAAAATTATGATTTTTATTTTCCCTAAGAAAAAAATGATACTAAAGCTATTTTTCTCTAAATTAAAATCAATAATTTAAAATATTACACAGATTCACTTCAGCTTTTCTCTGCGAGTGAAAACAAATCATGTTTAATTACTGGGGTAGGTAACTCACTTCAGAAACACTTGTTGTTATATTCCATGGAATGCTCTTAACATCCCGATAGCAATGAATATATTAAATGCTTTGACAATAAATACATAAAAAAATTCATCTGTGGAAGCCGTGGCGCTGTAAAAAGCACGACCAATCATCTGAGCCGGCCCGGCTAAAGTAACTGGATGGCCTACCCATAGATATATATATAAACACTAGATGGCTCAAGGGGGAGTTGCCAGCATAGCTCACCGGCGGCCATCTTGCCACAGTCAACAACTACTGCTACAGCTGTTGTGAGGTGAGTGATCTGCACAAAAATACTCTTAACTCGCTGAAATCTTGACTGATTTACAAACGATTACGTTATTAGCATGGCTATGATACAGGAGACAACAAGACATGTTAATGATTATAATTATAAGTATGCAGTATCATAACTACATCTTTGATGTTTATAACAAACCAAACCGTTTGAAAATTGAGCAATCTATGGTTATTTCAATAGTCCACCATAGACATAATGTTATGAATGAGCGAGCTGCCTGTGGCAAGATGGCCGCAATGTGGCAACGTCGGTCTCCATTGGCCAGCAGTGCGGGTGAGTCATCTAGTGTTTATATCTACTGGCCTACCTGCCTGTCAGCCTTCCATCTGTGCACAAACTTATCTCGTGCCCTCATTGGTCATGTGCGCGTTCGTGTGTGTTGGAGGAGGGGCTCTGTGAGGAGGCCTGAAGGAAGGGGCGGATTTCGACTGCGTACTTTCAAATTCTAGCGCACTCGAGCTGGTTTCTCCATTCTTACCTACCCTACCTTTAATAGGATACTTGTGCTTTTCCTTGTGACTTCTTTTGTTATAAAAATAAACCCTCCCGAAAACAACTTGGTAAAACAGTGTCTGGGACAGTTGGAGCATATCAAAGAAATTACACAAAAAGACACAAACAAAAAAGACAGGAAGTGACATGCTCACCCTGGCGAAGTGCTCGGGGTCTCTCAGAAAGACGGTCCTCTCCTTAGCGATACTGTTGCTATGGTAGAACTCCACCAGCTCGTTGAGAGAGGAGAAGAGCTCGTCCCACACGTAGTACTGACAGCTGCGGTCCTGCAGCACCTTGAAGTGCTGAACATGGTCCCCATAACTGCAACACAAACACACAGAAGATTCAATTTAATCCTATTTTAAAGCATCAGGGCCCAAGAGTTCAACACTTTTAATCCCTATCTGATCAGATCAGATTTGGACTTTGGGGAGTTCAAAACCAAAAAACAGGATTAGGATCACTTTGATATCCGATCAGATCAGGAAATCCAATTCAAGCTTTAATCTGGATCAAATCTTCAAAACGGGTTCAAACCGACAACACAGGATTGGGATCAATTTGATCCCAAACAACTGGATTATCCTGATCCCACCAGAGGGGTGGATTTCCAGTGGATTACCAGAGCAACATGTACTGTACAATTTATTTTAAAATATGTTTCAATTTAAATTAGATGGCAAAGTTTGTTAACTGAAATAATACACAATTTTTAGCCTTCATGGTAAATAAATTTAATTTTTCCATTTTTTGCTCACGTTTGTGGTGGCCTATTTTGTTTTCAACCAAATGTTGATGACATAAATGTTTATGCTCATGAAAGTATCACAACAAAGATCGTCAATCACAAATGTAATTTAGATTAAATTAAAAATATCTTCAACAAAAAAAAAGTCCATCATCTGTCATCACCTTTCAAAAGTAATTGCGGACAATAGATGTCTCTGCAATGTGGTCTGTTGTCTTCCTTGTATTATTTTTCATGTCCACTAGATGGCGATCGGTAGGATTAAAGCACTGATATTCAGGATCTAGTCATCTTGAAAAATCGTAATCTGGATCAGGATCTCGATTCACAACATTACCCTACCCCTAACCCTAATCCTACCCCTCACACCAGATACTGACTGGTTTTCGGACCCCCCCCGACCCCCCCAAAAAAGCAAAACTGCACGTTTCAGAGTGGCCTTTTATTGTGGCCAGCCTAAGGCACACCTGTGCAATAATCATGCTGTCTAATCAGCATCTTGATATGCCACACCTGTGAGGTGGGATGGATTATCTCGGCAAAGGAGAAGTGCTCACTATCACAGATTTTTTCAGATTTGTGAACAATATTTGAGAGAAATGGTTATTTTGTGTATATAGAAAATGTTTTAGATCTTTGAGTTCATCTCATGAAAAATGGGAGCAAAAACAAAAGTGTTGCGTTTATATTTTTGTTCAGTGTAGTTTTGTTGTGCATGTTAATGGTCTGTAAAGGCTAAAATCCCGAAGTTCCCTCCAGAGGGACTTTCTCTCCCACACACTCCCCCCCCTTCCTGAAACACCTCGATTCATTTGTGGGATATAATCTGGTCTTTCTGTCCTTTTTGGACACATTACATTTCGACCAGATTTGGGTTCACAGCCACAGGCCGTTTCTCAATCGCGAGGATTCAAGGATGCTACGTCATCGAGTGCCGCCGAAGGACTGTTCCAATCTCCAGCATACTTGGAATTCCACCGAGGCCGCGTCCTTGGTTTGGGGGACATTTCGAGGCTGCACATGGGTAGACTTTGCGTCCTTAAAATCCCCACAATGCTTTGCGCACGGACCAATTTCAAAAACCCTTGCGGAGAATGGCTGAACCGACGCAGCACACATTTAAATGTAAGTATGTAGTGGCGTAGAACATGTGTTGGTAAATATGTTACTTTGTTACATTTGTTATCACCAAACATGTGTTCCGTGAAAGTAAAGCAAGTTCATAATTAGATAGACATCGTGAGGTATTTATTTTTGGTCCAGTTTATGTTGAAACCAGAGTGGCACACTTGTTAGTCTGTTCCATTCTTTTTCGTTTTCCGTAGCCATGGCTTGGAAGCAGGCCCGGTTCTACGGGGGTGCATAAGGGTGCATTGCACCCTCAGTTGAGTCGTTATGCACCCTCATTTGAAAAATGAAAAAAAAAAAAGTGAAAAATATTACATATATAATAATAATAATAATAATAAGAAGAAGAATTTAGTTGAAATAAAATAAATTGTAATTGTGGTTAAATAACATTGTTTGCTGCATTTATTTGGTCAATTTAAACGGTAAGTAACGTTATTATGTCAGGTGTGCCGTGTGCGTGACCTGTGCCGCTGCGCGTTCGTTATTTGCAAAGTGCTTACACAGCAGTCAATGATGGACATCAGAAAATGGTTAAAACAATCAGCCCTAATCACCAGCAGTAACACTTAGGGGTGTAACGGTTCACAAACATTTCGGTTCGGTACGTACCTCGGTTTTTTGGTCACGGTTCGGTTCGGTACGTTTTCGGTACAGCAGAATTTTTTTTCACAGAACAAAACATATATATATATTTTTTTTGTATTATTATTAAACTGTGAATAATGTATTCACTCAAATAAATACAAAATATAATAAAATAAACATTAAGGTGCAGCATTTCGATGAACTGAAATAATCTGTATTTGAACTTTACTGTAGGCTACTAGTACTCACAAAACATAAACTATTAGTTTTGGGTTTTTAATTATTATTAAACTGTGAATATTCACTTAAATAAATACAAAATATAATAAAATAAACATTAAGGTGCAGCTTTTCGATGAACTGAAATAATCTGTATTTGAACTGTACTGTACTAGTTCCTAAGCAGCCAGTTTGACATTATGACTTGCTTGTCATTGTATTTTCATGTTTTTTTAAAGAAAAATGAACTTGTCCACATTGCTTGCCGAAAGGGCAGATCTGCTGGCACTAACAATGTCTCCTGCTGTGGAGAACACCCTCTCGCTAGGGACAGAGGTAGCAGATACAGCCAGGTAGCGCTTTGCTAACATGGCAACATAAGGATATTTGGCGTTTGTAATAGCTTTGGCTCGGTCTGATCTTTTTGCGAGTGGTGGAGGCTTACATGCTAGCGGGAGTTGGGTTTGCACTTCAGTCTTTTTTCTTTTGGTACCGGTGATATTCACGTTCGGGTGATGCCTTTTCAAGAGTGTGCAAGTTTGATGTATTGCCAGCCGCGTAACCAATTTTAGTTGAACAATGCCGACAAACAGCTTTGGTTCGGTCCACCTGTCTTTGTCCTTCATCCTTGTACGTAACTGCGAAACCAAAATGTTCCCAAACCGGAGACTTCAATGATGCTGGAGGATTTTCGAGCTCAACTTGATCTGCGTTCGCCATTAATTTTCGACAGTTCCTCAAATTACTGACTACATTTGAACGCATCCCTCTGACCAGCTCTCATAGCATGCCTCTCATCCAATGAAATGACTTGCTCGCTCTATGACGCGTTGAACCCAATGTGACCAAATTACTCTGAATGCTGCGACGCAGCACCTGAGATTACTTCCAAAAAGTTGTTCACGTTCTCAATTGTTTACGTTTAACGTTATATTCGTTCGGTACACTTCGGTACACACCTGTACCGAACCGAAGGGCCCGTACCGAATAATTTCGGTACGGGTACGTGTACCGTTACACCCCTAGTAACACTGCATCTACTGCAGGTAATAACAGTTCAGATCATGGGGACATTATGTTACCCGCGGCCACTGTCGTGGACACTAACGCCTGACTCGCCGGCTTTGACCACCTCGCCCACGGAGGCTGAGCAGCCGCAGCTGTCTTCGTTGCCCCAAACACTGCCACCCCTCAGCGGCCCGCAAGTGCCAGAGGACCTCGGCAAAACAGAGCCTGCCCAGGTATATTTAAAAAAGTACCCAACTCGCCTGTACAGTGGGGTAAGGCACTCATTTTGCAGCTCATGGTTTCAAAACAGAGATTGGCTGGAATATTCATGTCAAAAAGATGCCATCTTCTGCTATGCATGTAGACATCACTCCAGTTCTGAAGTCTTTACACTGGCTTCCTGTGTGTCAAAGAATAGATTTCAAAATACTGCTGCTGGTTTATAAAGCACTGAATGGTTTAGGCCCAAAATACATTTCTGACCTCCTGCTAAATGATGAACCATCCAGATCTCTCAGGTCTTCAGGGACTGGTCAGCTTTCTGTCCCCAGAGTCAGAACTAAACATGGTAAAGCAGCGTTCAGTTATTATGCTCCAAATATCTGGAACAAACTCCCAGAAACCTGCAGGTCCGCTGCAACTCTGACTACTTTTAAATCCAGGCTGAAGACTTTTCTTTTTGTCGCTGCTTTTAATTGAACTATTCATATCTTAGACTGCACTGTAACTTTTATCCATGTACTTTTTTTTCTTTTAATGTTTAATTGACTGCCATGTATTTTTTTTTCTTTTGGTGTTTATTTTATTGGCTTTTCTTTTTAATGACTGATTTTAAATGCCATTTTCTTAATCTCTTTCATTTTTTGTAAAGCACTTTGAATTGCCTTGTGTTGAAAAGTGCTATATAAATAAACTTGCCTTGCCTTGCCTTGCCTTGCCTAGACATTTCGGTTCAAGTAAGTCAGATGCCTTCACCACAACTGGCAACAACAACTGGCGCCATGCTCTTGTACGTGATAAGGGACTGGGAAGGCATGAATCAAGCAAAGAGCACATCCATAGATCTCTTAATGTTGCTCTCAAAGTGCACCAGATTGATGCTTTTAACTTCAATATTTAAAAAAAAAACTTCCCGGGAGACCATGCCCCCGGACCCCCTTAGAGGAGGTGAGGACCCCCCTAGAGGAGGTGAGGACCCCCATAGAGGGTGTTGGGTCCACTCCCCACTTATAAAAATAGCACTTTACCACTGCACCCTCTCTAATCTCAGATGCACCCTGAGTCATTTTGTTCTGGAACCGGGCCTGCTTGGAAGTATACTTGCTTAGTTTCTGAAGGAAGTGACTTGGAAGTACGCGACTACCAAGCCAGCATCCTCGCGATTGAGAAACGGCCACAGTCTTGAACTTTAGTCCTCAAAGCTTTAGCATTAGCTCCACAGCTGTCAGCTGTTGGAGCTGGCATGCATTCAGTGCAGTTCTGTTCATTTGCCTCACTGGAGCCACCACTTAATTCTCGTTTTATTTTTAATTTAAATTAAAACCTTTTAACCAATCAGACCAGGTCTGTAGTGAATAATCTGGCACAAACAGTACGAGAGTGGACACATTTACTACATTCTTGAAGAGAA